CTCACCAGTGGCAAACATGAAGGGCAACTTCATGTTACGCTTCCGTAGATGTTCTGCCCCTTCTTCATCTCTGAAAATAAATCAGCTATATAGCATAATACTGCAGTACTAAACAGTTACTGTAATCTTTTTGCCCCCTGGAATTAATATTAAAAAAATTAACTATTCTATTTGTAGGCATTTTTCAAATTCCTAACTATTCCAGCTCAACTTGGCTGAGTTAAACCAAGAGGCAGATTATGAAATAAGGAGCTTATGACTGTAATACCACCTTTACATATTACATTTGTAATTAAATCTAGATAGCATATGACTTTTTCTGTGCATTATGAGTGGAAATGAAAATAAGTGGGCTTTGTTCCATGCATTATGTTTTTCTTGGCATAGCAAGTAAATGAATACTTCACCACTGAAGTACCTCTTTTTCTCCATTTTACAGACCCCTTAGCAAAAATTATTTAACCTGTGTAATAATGCTGAATTCTGTATTATGTAGAATTTAGTTGAGCACCATAAAGGCCTTAATTTCTTTATGTTATCTGTTGTTTCTTCTACACAACTGCAGTTGGATTTCTTAATTTTTGCTAACAGGGATACTGAATTAAAAATAGGTTGGATGGAATAACTTGGTGCTTGTACCACTGCTCTTATTCTTTATATGAAATCAAAACGTCTAAAATTTTACACATAAAGGACTATGCCACATAAGTACTGAAACATCACAATTCTTTCCATTGTTCATTAGCAAATTGAAAGAGGTTTTCTTTTTGGAGTTCAGGATTTAAAGGGAGTTTATTTAAAAATAACAAATTCCTTTCTGAATATAAACAAGCTCAAAAGTTTTCAGTTTTTGAAGTATACTGCTTTATGTGATGATGACTTACGTAAGAGGTCTTTGCGTGGCAATGATGTAATCCGGTCTTCCATTTTTGTAGACAAGACGTGCATTTGCCTGTACCCAGGCCCATCGATTTTCTTTGGTTAGAAGCCTAAATACAGTCATTCCACTCTCACCTGTCTTCATCACTAGAGTTAAAGAGTAAGCATACTGTTTACTGTCCAGTGAACGAAATCTGGCATGTCATGGAAGTAATCCCATTTGTAGAGCAATTTTACAAATCAGAGGTCCCCAATCACCCATTTCTGTGTGGCACTAATGTATTCCTTGTGAAACAGGATGATCAATCACTTTAAGATGTCTACTTTAATTTACTTGTAAAATAAAAAGCCAAAACTGCAAGCAACTGTAAGATATCCACTACAGATTGGCAACATCAAATATGGAGCTTCATCCATTACCTCTGCAATAACAGAAATTAATAAATACTAGAACATGTAAATGACAAAAGCCTACATCTCTTTTACATCCGAAAAGTGACTATTACTTAAGAAATTAGAAAACACATTAGCTCTGAGTCCAATTCTTTCACATTTTGACTGGTTAATGCAGAGGTACTTCAAAATCCATTATTTTTTTCTCCCACTACCACTTCACTAGCAATGCTTGATAAACATGCTACATTTTCATTGTACATTGCTTAAAACACTACGTTTCTAGATTAAATATATAATTAAAATTAAATTTAAAATTAAATTAAAATTAAATTTAAAAAATATTACGAAAGTTTAAGATGCCTAACCAAAAATAATCTTTGCTATAAGACTTCTTTTTTATCTTAGCATCAGAAAGGGAGCAAAACCAGTTTTTAGACACAGTTTCAAAACAGAATTTAAAACCAAAGTTTCATCCCATTCTATTCTGGAAATATTTTCTTTCTTATTCCTTACCAAACAAACAAAACCACTGATAGGCAACTGAGAGTGACTTAGCTATACCTGAAACAGAAAACCTGTTTAATATAGGTTGAGAACTAACCAACTGAGGGGGGTTATTTAACTGTGTACAAGGCACAAAAGAAAAAACAGTTTTTCAAGAGAAGTCAGAATGAAAGAAGAAGCACCAAAATATGCTGAAGATGTTTCTGTCACTTCCAAAGAAACATATGTTTAGTGGTGGACTTGGTAATGTTAGGTTAATGGTTGGACTGGATGATCTTAAAGGTCTTTTCCAACCTAAACAATTCTATGATTCTATGTTACAGCTAACAAAAAAGAAAGAAGTCCACTAAATAGTTACATATCAGGTAGCTGATACTTATTTCCTTAGCTTAAGACATTATACTTCTCTCCTTCAGTTGTTACGTAAACCAAATCAAGCTGCCAAGAATCAAAACCAGAAATGTACAGACACTAGCATGCTAAATCACAGATTAATTTCTGTTAAAAATCTTACACTGATATCAAAAGAAAATTCTTTATTTAACTTCCTAACAGGAAAGCTATCTTTGAAATAGTCCCTTTGCCCAAAGGAAGTTGTTGAAATAGCAGAAGTTGGGTTGAGCAGAGAAGGAAGTGAGAAGAGCAAGATGTGACAGAAACTGGAATATATAACCTAACAGGGTCTAGATAGGAATATTAAATATTTCTTCATCCAGTATAAGTTTTTATAGGGAGGGAAAGATCACATGGAATGAATAGTGTTCTTTTTGTTAACAACCACTTTTTTTTTTTTTTTAAAAAAAAAAAAAAAAAAGAATTTTGTAATTTTTTTT